CCGGGTGGGTGGGGTGGGGACTGGAGATTGATAAGAATCATTAAAATGCACAGATGCCCTAAACATTCTCCTTTCAGATGATAGTTTCAATCATTTATGGCAAATCTTTTCTGCAGGGTCACTGGCAAAATCGTATCCGATTCTCACTCTCCGGTGCCCTCGGGCAGAAGCTCTCTGGGGGAGCCACCTGGTCCCCAAGTCGGCTGCGCTAAGGGGGCTTCACAGGCCGAAGGATCAGGCTGGGGATGCTTTTCAGACAGTCCCGTAAGTCAGGGACTCAGAGACACTGGGTCTTACTCGTCTCTATCAAGGCAGAAGGAAGAGGCTGGCGATGGAAAGAAATTCGAGGGACGTCCGACGCGTCCTCGGAAAACGGACCAGAATAAAGTCCATAGTTCTCCGGACAGTCGGCCTCACTGGCCCTCGGTGGAGGCCCCTGTCTTCCTGTCACTCAGGTCATAACAACGGGACACAGTACTTTCCAGAACTGCCCCTTCTCTCCTCTCTGGCCGTGTCAGGGTGGCGGCCTGACCCTCCTCGGCCATCCCAGGTCCCCTCTCTGCGGTGAGGGGACGCGTTTGCCAGATTTCAAGGAGAAGGGCTTGCTCTCCGGCTGCCCCGGGGCGAGGCGAGCCTCCCAGCCCGAGGGGGCACACGAGGGACAGACAGGGACGGCACTTACTTCCCGAGGGCGAAGCACTCCAGCCGCGCCGTGGCTCCCCTGGCCGTCGGGACCGTCTCTGGGAACTGCACCTCGATTTTGGGCTCATACTCGCCCATCACCCCTGTGAGCAAAGACAAGGAGCCGAGTCTCAGAGACACTTTTAACACGCACGCGAGTGTTTTCCTGCTGATGCCCCAGCTCCCACGGCCACTGTGGGCCGTAGTTTGTTTCTTCTTTCGAAGTGGGTCCCATCACCAGCCAGGAGAGGTGGCCCTGGTCCCGGTGATGGTGACAGAAAACGCGTCACAGAGCCCACCACCTGGGACCGGATTCTGCAGGCATCCAACGCCACTCTCAGAAATAGGTTTTCTTTCAGTCGGGCATGGAGAAGTACGTAGGAAGGCGGTCAAGTCTGAGTCACCAGGAAAAGCAAACGCATTACGTTTTGGGAAACATACTGCGGAAAAATTTTAAATGCTTAAAAAATACTCGCCTGCTTGATATGCCCTGTAAGAAAAACATTTCTGAGTAATCAGCTGGTGGCCACAGGTTACTTTCTCTTTCACGCCCAAGCTAATCTGAATTAATCACGAATTAGTACATGCAAGGCCCCAGCCGGCGCCGGGATTTGTGTCATATTCTGAAATAATGCAGATAATCGGATGCAAGTGTAGAAACAACCTTCACGTGAGGCCCAGGGGGCCAAGGGCGCGCTTACCGTGAAGGTGAAACTTTCCTGCTGTCCCATGTCCTGAAAATTGACTACAATTATGACCAAGTAACACGACCTAACAAACCAAGTCTACGGTTTATAACCAGTGTAAGAGATAATCTCTCACCGGTACACCCCTGATCTTGTCTGCACTGCTCCACGGGCTTTACCACCCGCATTTCCGTCCAGTGTCCAGTCTTTTTCCGCCGGCCCTGGTTCCACTGTGTGAGTACAAAGCCTGGAACTATCCTGCTAACTCAGAAATGAGAGGACCCCTCCCGTCTCCCCTTTGGGCTCTCCGCAGTTAGAGGAGGGAGAGAGTGAAGGGCTCAGAGGAAAAGTCTGAAAGCGGAGAGTAGATGGGGACCTGGGGACAGATGCAGCGGCAAGGAAGCGATTTCAGAGAGGAAGGGAGAGGGAGGGAAACATTGATCACTAGAGTCATTGACCCCTGCCTCCCGCACGCCCCCCACTGGGGATCCAGCCCGCGACCCAGGCCTGTGCCCCGACCGGGAATTGAACCGCGACCTCCAGGTTCACAGGTCGACGCTCAACCCCTGAGCCGCGCCTGCCGGGCATGGAAGCTGCTTTAAAGTACCATCAAGGCTTCTCACATGAGTTCTCTTACTGAAGACGACGCTTTTCTAACATGAACCGTGCAGGAGGTTTGTGTGGCCACGTGGGGGGCTCGGGGTTGTTTTGTGTCTGGGTGTGTCCGTTGGCAGAGTTGTCAGTGGCACTGCAGCTTGGTCTGCGTTTACAGCCCTGGTGCAGGCCGTGGAGAAAGACCAGGGATGGTTAGCACGGTGTCCACTGCTGTTCACAGAGTGTCCACTAATAGAAAGACCGTCTATGTTTATTAAAATCACAAAAAAGGGAGGAAGCCATTTCCTTCGCCTGGGTTATGGGCAGTTTTAGGAACACCTGTGAATGGCTCATTTAACTGGGTTACATCTGGCCCGGCTACATTTTTATTTGACTGTATCTTCCATTTTAACTATTTTGGCCCTATTTTCTATGTTGAATTTAAAAAGCTGTTGCCTTTTAAATTTTTTTTAGGAAACAAAGGCCCCTCAGATAGGAGCGCGTTTTCCAAGTTGCTCCTCCCCCCACCTGCACACTTCTGAATGTAACTGGTCCACAGCTGCTCCGGCGAGTCACGGAATATTAGGCAAAAGGAGCGAGGCCCGGCTGGAGCGGCCCAGGCACCTCGTCCACCTCAGGCTGCTCACACAGGAGAGGAGACGGAGGCCGGCCGGGTCTGCGCGCCACGGTGAGGCCGCAGGGCGCAGGGACGCGAGTCGGGGCGGACCCGGGGGCAGGCTCGCAGGAACGGCCCCTGCTCTGGGCGCGTCCCGGAGCGCACTCGTCACGGGTCCCACCAGGGACAATGCCCGTGAAGGCCCTGGGCTCTGTGCCTGACCTCGTGGCAATGACCGTCCCCCTTTCAAGCTCTGGACGATTATTGATTCTGATGCTGATTCAGCAAGAACCCGGCACTTAGCAAAGTAGCTCTTACGGGCCGTGAGAGAGAAACCAGCCGCACACCACGCTTGTTTAACTACACTTTGCAGAGTGCTGTGCTGGCAGAGTTTCGCGCCATAAGATTTTGCCAACACCTGCCTTCGCTGGAATCTGCGCTTTTGCTAAATTAAACCACAGAAGGGACTTTTACCAACTTCCACAGAGCGGGATTATCTGCTGAAAAACAGACATCGCAAAAATCGTCTTGTGAGAAGTCTCTACGTTGACTTTCTTGAGGAACAGGACGTAGGTTCATTAAAATGAAATGTTTGGAAATATCTGACTAGTCACACCCATGCCCTTGGCTGAGGTGACCATTTTGCCCCTTTCGAAGGGCTTGCCAGCCCCAGGCTGAAGGAGGCATATGGGCTCAAGGGGGCTGTCCGAAGAATCCCTCCCACGAATGTCCACCATCCCAGAGGCTAAGTCCTGCTGAATTTGAGGCCACAGCTGTGAAAACGAGTCCTCCCGAGGCGGAGAGGGGAGGAGTAAGGGACCTGAAGGCTGTGCGTCACCTGTTCAACCTGGGGTTTCAGTGGGACCTCAGGCACCTGTGTGATTTGCAAATGAACCCGTGACGGGACCTCCTCAAACATGCCCCTTTCCTTCCTTCTCAGTAAAGTGCTGAGCTAACCGAGTGATTCCAGAAGGATCTCTCCTGTAAAGGCAGAGCGAGTGTGTGCTGGGCTTGCCCGGGACACTTGGTTGGTGTGAAGTCCTGAGGTCACTTGCTGATAGTTTCCAGGTTCGCAGTTCACGAAACGGTCACCTTCCTTTAGGTGACACACGCGAACTTCTGTCTCCCTTCGAGAAAGTGCTTCTACCTTCCTCCTACTACGTAACTCTTCATGGCGTGTTGAACTCAACACTCTCTCTCCCTCCAACTTGCACACGTTGGTCCTGGTCCAAGTTGTTGGAGCCACAAAGACCAAGTCTTGATGGACGGTCTTCAGATATTTAAAGATATTATTATGTGTCAGGGACAAAGGTTTTCTGTAAAGGGGCAGATGGCAATGATTTTATTTGGGTTTTGTGAGCAATAGTCTCTGGTAAGACTCAACTCTGTCAAATTGTAGCTGGAAATAGACAATATGTTAAAAAAAAAAAAAAAAAGGCTCTGTTGCAATAAAACTGTATTTACGAAAAACGAGGTGAGCTGTGTTTGGCGCATGAGCCCTGACTGGCTCAGCCCTGGCTTAGAGGAAATGGGGAAGACAGAAAAGCTTGGGAGAATTAGTAGCATCAACAGACAAACTCAGGCCTAACAAGAGATCTCAGCGAGCTTGCCCGACGTGGAACCCAGAGAGTAGCAGCATCTCCATACGTCAGCAATAAGCTAATCAGAGAATGTGATTAGAAACCATTCACAGTAGCGGCGAAGATGATCGAGGATCTAGGAATTACCCCCAAATACTCAACTTTCCTATGGAGAAAAAATTTAAGCTTTCTTTACAAAAACAGGCCATGGGTAGGGTCGGCCTGTGGGAGGAGTTTGCAGCCTTGGTTTAAACACTGTACCCCTGCCTGGAATTCCCTTCCTCTCTCGTAGGTTGGCCAGCTCTTCATGGAAGGTCCCTCACCCCGAGGCTGCGACTGTCGCATGATCTCATTGCAACTTGGTAACTCTTAGCACAAGAGACACTCCAGTGTATCTGCTTTAAGTCTCTGCTCCCCAGTGTGGCCCCCTCCTGCCTCCAGCATCAGTCGGCCTCCTCCGCCAGACTAGACTCTGAGAGCACAGGCTTTTGCATCCCGGTGACAAATCATGTACAATCGGTACTCAGTGCACGGTTGCTGGTTAAAGGCGTGATAAGTGAATGGCCCACATCATCTCTGTTCCAGGACGGACACANCGGTGACAAATCATGTACAATCGGTACTCAGTGCACGGTTGCTGGTTAAATGTGTGATAAGTGAATGGCCCACATCATCTCTGTTCCAGGGCGGACAACACTATCTCACCCTTCCGTTCCAAATCCCTCTGTCTATAAATGTGTTTCTTGGAACTCCATTCAACAATTCCAAAAAAGAATGAAACTTTAGACCTTTTGTCAATCGGGACTCCTCTAGGACTGTAGGTTCCAGGGGCCGAGAGCACCTGTTTTTATTTCACACTGTCCCCCACACAAGTACTTAACAGGCACTTCCTACCTGCCCAGCTAAATGACTGTCCAGGGCTTTGGGTGCCCGTGGAACTAAGATGGAGCTGAAGGAGTTGGGGGTTCAAAGGTGCCTGCCCAGTTCCTACATTTGCCACGCCTTCAAAACAGCCGGAGCCATTAGGACACTGTTAACTCAGATTGGCAAGGCCGGTTTAGCAAAACATCTCACATCCCTTACTCATGTAGCTGCTCCTCTTACACAACAGGTTTTACGCCCACAGATCCTCAGCTGTGATGTTGTCAGAGAATTAAAAACGAGACAGAATCGCGGTGACAAAGCCCCATGAAAGTTGCAATTAGAAGCAAGAGTAAAATAAAGCAAAGCGTTTGGGTATGAAGTCTAGGTCTGAAGTCATATCCCGCCCCCGCTGCCAGGCAGGGGTGCCACCCTCGCCGTCCGCGCGCTAGGCCGTCGATGAAAGGTGGTCGAGTTTACAACCAGAGACACAGCCTCTTCCTGAGCCGGTTTCCCATCGGACCACGAGGTTCCTCACGGGGCTGGTAAAGGAAGCCGGCTGGCTCGTGGAGGCACACGGAGGTTGTCACCGCTCCCTGGAGCGTCTCGGCTGGGGCACCGTCCCGAGAGTTGACCGGGAACAGAAGGCAGGGTCGTGGTGGAGGCTGCGTTACAATGTATCAGTATCGCAGAATGTTCTAGAGACTCTTGTTTCTCCTTCCTGTTGTTTAGTTTTCTCTGGTTCTAAATGTGGCACTTTGCGGGGAGGTCCCGGAGGCGAAGGCCCCCCCCCCCCC